ATACATGGATAAATGTTTCTGCAATTAGATCGATGGGCAAATTTATTTCGAGGGGCCGCGCAGGAGCAAGCCGAGTTGACCAGACCGATGACGATGACATGAGTGTGATTAGTGAAGTCGATCCCGCACCGAAAAATGGTAGTATTGATAGCGTCATGAGTTAGGTGGTTGTTGATCAATCGGAGACCTGCTCCGTAGCAGAAAGTGGCTCAATCGAAGACCCATCATTAGGAAGTGGGGCAAGTTGCGCTAAAACGGGATCTTGCAAAAGTATATGCAGTGACGTATGCTCAAGCGGAAAGACGGAGGTATCTTCCGTATCTGATGTAATTGAAGCTCTTGCGAACTTGCGAAGCCGTTTCAAGTGTGGTTTCATTTGCTGAGTGTCCGAATCGCGATGATGGTAGGGCGAGCAGCCTATCAGACACACGTTCTATGAATAGTGACTGCAGTCGCCTGAGATTGCATTATATACCTCAGGAATGCGCTCGTCGAACTAGCCACGCCAGAGATCGCGCGCGCGATAGCGCGCGCTCAAAAATATTAATTTCACATTTCGCGAAATTTCATGAAATTTCGTGAAATATTTCGACATGAAATTTCACGAGTCAGATTTCACTGAGATGCATAACCCTGGTTGAAACGGCTGATCGTAAAGGCTGTGTGTGAAGCCTTTCTAAGAGCCTTTATAGTGATCTTTGAGTGATCTGTGAGGACTATCTTCTAGATAGTATTGGGAACTATCTCTTTCGTAACTAACCCTAACACCAATAGGTCTGTTATACCCTCAACGCTCTAGTACATTGCGTTAAGCCTCAGGAGTCTATGGAATTACGTTCTGGTTCTAAGTTATCCCCCTCTGTCGGTTCTGTCCGCAGAGGGAGATCTAGAGAGGAATCTAGTGCTTTTTCTCTTCCCCCTAGTAACAGGATTCCATCACCCGCTCCTGCACAACTCCCCTTGCCCCGAGATTACTCATGTCCCCCCGAAATTCCTCTTTTTGTCCCGAAATTTCTTCGCGCTGCCCCTGCTTGGCAAGTGAGCCTAGAGAGTGCCTTCTCTTTCGAGTGGCAAAGGATCACTTTCTTCGTGAGAGCCTAATGGTTGATACCTATAAGTAACAGTGAAGCCGAAACGATTCGCGAGTGTGAGCGAGATGTTATCACTGAGAACCCACTAGTTACAATCGAAGTGTACTCACGTCGGGGTCGACTTCTCACGGATGTGTCATCTGTGAATTTGTTGACTGATGCGGATCCCATCTAGTGATATTCCGGCTAGTACTGGCGTACTCTTGTGAAGGTCAAAGTTTGGCCAGTACCCGGTGTTTGACTATGTCGGAAGTAAGTCGTTTGTGTTCGTCGGTGGATACTCCTCTTTTTAGTTGTCACCTGCGAGGGGATTCCAGTTTAATCATCCAGATCAGTGAAGTCGAGTATCTTCAATTAACTAACGATCCATGTCGGCGACATGATGTCGCTGTTAAGCATCCGTGTCCCACCAGCGGCAGGTTTGCCCTACCATGGTCTATAATATATGGACAACACAAAGCGAGTATTTTAATACGGTACTATTAGTGCACTAATTAGTCCATCATGCATTAGTAATGAGCACGAGAGCTTCCGCCGTAGCACAGGCGCTCGTAGTTGAGCCGTCTGTTTTTGCGCAGTCGCTCTTTCAGCGGTGGCGTTCTGCGCTCGGCATCTGAAGTGAATAACGATATTGTGATTGATGAATCAACGGTGCTTATCGCGCTTGTGTTGAGGGTTTTCCACATCTATAATATTTCCGAATATCAGATTGGTTTGTTATCACAATGCCTGCTCGTCGCACCAGAGTTCTTCCGAGTTGTTGAGGTGCTGCTTCTCTCACTTTCGCCAGCTGACTCTGAACTCGCCGAAGAGGCGAATGACAGTGTCTGGGACTACTTCAAGATAGCCTGAACGACTATCAAATCGATTTATAGCAGGTGACACGGGTACTTACCGAGCTTGGTACCATTCGTAGTGCAGCCTTCACCCTTCGGTCTGGAGCACTGGTTTCGTAGGCTATATCACCGTCGGAGCTGTGTGGCGCCGTGGCTGAGTGTACCTGGAGAGATTACGCTAAAGTGGTAGTTTACAAAAGATCTTTGTCTCCTTTACTACGTCGTTTCTTGGTTCAGGGGCACTGTGGCTCGATGGTGCGGATTGCTGCTCTCCCGTACTAACATACTGCTCTGTCGCTGAGTTTTCTATGGGACCGCAACGTGTCCTTCCCGTTGTAAGGCAGATGCTACCTGGTTGGTCTCTATAAGGGCATTCATGAAGCATTTCTGCTGTGGATGGCGGGTGCTGGATGTCTGAATCGGATAGGATCACTGATCCTGGATCAGGTTAGTGACTCGAGCCACATCTCGCTCTAAATCGATTCGCGAAATCTCACCTGGCAGGATCTCGCAATATTGCTGAGACATGTCGATCTTTCGTGCCTTTTGTGGGAGTCGTATCGACATTTTGGCACCTGCTATATTCTTTGAAATGCCGTCAATTCTATCTTGATAGCTTCCATCGATCTCCAGCGCAGTTGTTTTCGTGTATCTATGACATGAAATAAAATTAGAACTCCTGTTCAATGATCAGGATTGAAGCATGGGTGGTCAACTATCTAATATCTCTTACCGTGGTCTCCCACGCGAACATGGAGCAAAGCTGACCAGATCTTCGATGCTGCTACGGCCATCTCTCAAATCCAAGTATCCTTGTTCCAGTAGGCGGACCCCTAGGCTATGCTCGCAGACCCTCAGATATTTCGTTTTATAACAGGTACAAGCGAACTCCTCTGTGGCATCGATGATATGCACATTGCTTGTAACGTCACGGAAATGTTCCCAACTCCCCCAATCAGTTGATGGATGCCCCAGGAAGCGACATACATAGTGGGCCAATACTCGATCTAGAGTAGGCTGGTCAAGGGCTTTCTCCATCATCCTCGATGAAGGAATCAAGTAGTAACGGGAGCGTGTCGTTTCGTGAACATAGATGACTGTGTCTTCTGATGTCGCCCACTTGGCTGCGGATATAGCATCTTTGATTGTTGTCGGCTTATCGCCACCGGCGTGAAGCCACGTATAATCGCCGTATGCCTTCATTATTTCTTTCACCAATATGTCGAACGTTGCTCCCTGTTTAATCTTACCTGATTGGGAAATGAAAGTAAGATACTGAGATCATAAATCAAAGATCTGAAATTTCGGATTCCCTGTTGCAAATTGAATTTTACGTTCGTTTCATGATTTCAACGAGGCTATCGAAAGCGAGATAGTTCATACAATCTTAATTGCATTCGACTCAATCTCAGGGGCAGGATTTCTTTCAAGTGAAGTGGATTTTCTGCGAAGTGGATCCGTTCGATTTGCAGTTTCGGTTTTTTTCTTCCTAGCTCTCAGCTCTGTTTCGGGAAATATGAAATCAATATAGATTCATAAAGTTAAGAATCACAAATACAGAATATCGCAGGTCACATTACCTGTCTTGCAGGCGTGGTTTATTCCTTCCACAGCACAAGTATGCCGTGGAACGTTCCAAGGTATACCATATGCTCCGATGTACCAACCTGCCTTGGTTAACACCCAGGTGGGGACGAAATATTTTACTAGGAGGGGATGTGTTCTACCCCACCGTTTGACGAATTGTTTGATCCCGTCTTCGAATAGTCTGTCGCTAGCTGCACAGTGGAGTGCCTTCAGATCACGGAAGAGCTCAGATTTTCTCGCTGCAGCGGCCTCCTTCCAACCTTCAGTGGTTGTATTTATATAACTTGTCTTCTGGAGGACTTGGCGGTACATGTGCACCCAACAGTACAATCTGAAATTCTGCGAAGCCATAGGTGGCCACTGTAAGTTGGGAGCAAGCCCTATCGGATTCAGTGCACCGTAGACCTGAGGGGAATTACGACTTATACTACTACTACCACTACTATAATACTACTATTACTACCACTACTATTACTACCATAATACTACTATAATAATACTACTATAATAATACTACTATAATAATACTACTATAATACTACTATAATACTACTATAATACTACTACAAACGACTATAATACTTACTACAATAGTACTACTATAATACTTATTACTATAATACTTACTACTACTATAATACTTACTACTATAATACTTACTACTGTAATACTACTATGATACTTACTACTATAATACTACTATAATACTTACTACTATAATACTACTCTAATACTTACTACTATAATACTACTATAATAATACTAATACTACTACTACTACTACTACTACTACTACTACTACTACTACTACTACTACTACTACTACTACGACTACTACGACTACTGCTACTACTACTACGACTACTACTACTACTACTACTACTACTACTACTACTACTACTACTACTACTACTACTACTACTACTACTACTACTACTACCACTACTACTACTACTACTACTTCTCGATATGCGTTGCTAAATGACTCTGCACTATCCCCAATCAATGTATCAGGCCTATGGTTTATTCCGAGCTCTTCGCAATGCCGACGGAGGGCAGCAAAGAGGGCTGTGACCTCAGTTGCTGTCTCCTTGCATGTCAGCGCGAAGGCCAGTAATCTGAACTGGCCAGATGCATTGATGCTACCACAAACCAAAGTTTTAAAGCCCAGCCAGCTCAGACCATTGGTAAAGTCTACTGTGATGTTGGGGATGGAGGCGTTGTTAGACAGTAGACCGGTGGTAGAGAATATGAAGTACGTGTTGGGTCCCATCATGTAATCGAGACAGTATGCTTCGTCTGGCTCCGAGGGAGTGGCCAGCTTGGACTCACACCAAGCACGTATCTCAGCTTTGGTGTTACCAATCCTCTCGTCTTCCCTCTTCTCCGTGCGGGATCGCTTGTTATAAATTGCCTTCATTATTTTGCTCCCTTCTTGGTTAGGCGGCAATTGACCCAGTTCCCGCAAGGAGCGGAAACTCTGACTAGCATCCAGGCCTTCCTTAGTATGACGCTCAACCAGATTCATCGCCGCATTGCTCAGAGTCGGCTCCTGCTGAAACACATAATCCGGTAAGCGCTCGTGTTGGTGGGTCTTGTATGGAGACTGAGCGAAACGAACTTGGAATGTGGAATTCGACTCGACTATCTGTGCTCTGTAACCGCAAGGTTGCCAGCCCCTCCGTCGATGATAAGTGCATACGAATTTGTGGTAACGAACACCGTCCTTAGCTACGTAGGATCCTTTACTGGTCACACCATGACCGCTAGCTGAGACCAACTTCTCCCTCGCACTTTTGAATGAGTCGAATACTTCGCCTCCTGGGATGTATGTGACATCTCGGTGTGGTAGATTTTCCCTGTCACCGTCATTTTCAGATATAGTGCGAGCAGCTAGATCTTGGCTGCTCATAGAATAACCATGAGGCTCTTCCTCAAGCCATGATGAAAGCCAGGCCATGAACTCGGTTGTTGATGGTTCCGGTGGTAAGGATGGCGATCTGGTACCTGAGGTTGTTCGTGAGTGTTACATCGTGCGTGAGTGTCCCTAACCTCTCGGATTGGGGCTGCTATTCGCTGCTGATGTACTTCGGGGTGGGGTAGAGTTAGACATGGTATTCGATATGATATTCGAGACACCAAAGTTCAGCAATCGCTGACATGAACGGTCAAATCTCGTCCACGCTCCCCAACTCTATAGTTCACAGAATCTAGGTGTATGTTTGAACTGTATCAGAATAGCCGTGGATATGATATTCGAGACACCAAAGTTCAGCAATCGCTGACATGAACGGTCAAATTCCGTCCACGCTCCCCAACTCTATAATTCACAGAATCTAGGTGTATGTTTGAACTGTATCAGAATAGCCATGGATATGATATTCGAGACACCAAAGTTCAGCAATCGCTGACATGAACGGTCAAATCTCGTCCACGCTCCCCAACTCTATAATTCACAGAATCTAGGTGTATGTTTGAACTGTATCAGAATAGCCATGGATATGATATTCGAGACACCAAAGTTCAGCAATCGCTGACATGAACCCTCAAATCTCGTCCACGCTCCCCCACTCTATAGTTCACAGAATCTAGGTGTATGTTTGAACCGTATCAGTCATGGACATTATAATTCGACTTCGAATTAGACTGAGAGCTTAACCATGATGCTGCATAGAATGCCACACAAGGTATTATTATCGATGGCAAGACGTCCTGGAGAGCATCTGGCGAAAGAAAAGTTAGGGGCACGCAAGAGCATGTTCGGGGCAAAAAGAGTATTTTAGGGGCAAGCGGAGAAATTTCGGGGCGCGGCGAGCATTTTCGGGGCGCGCATGAGAATATGCCGGTGTTGGTCAAGTTGTCAATGTATAACTCGTAGAACTCAATGCAGAGTAGGTTGAGGTGCAGCAGTATACAAAGCGTCAATGTGGGCCTTATGTTCGCTATGTGCTTACGTACACATCTATACTAAGTTGAGCAAGATAGCACAAGATAGCAAGAATAAGTTGCGACTAGTAAGTTGGTCAACACTCCGGGGGGGGGAGTTTCGGTCGGAGGTTGAGACGACAGGACAATGAGAGAGAATAGGGACTGATGTTCGACTGTAAGATAACTTCATAATGAGCATAAGACTGACTGACTAACAATAATCATATCATTCATCATCCTCAACATCCATAACTTTTTTCAAATTCCCGATATATTCATACTTGACATCATTATCGGTAAGAGACTTGACGATAGCAGCAATAACACCGTTAATACCAACCACAGTATAGATATCACTGAGCCAACGTTGAGAGAGTTTATGACTGAGACAGTCAAAGTTGTATCTGACGACTTTATCACCAACAGTGAGCTTAGTGAAATCGGATCTCAACGTAGTAGTAGCTCCATAAACATCTCTTGATCTCAGGGAAGTCTCCAAGTTCTCAGTGATCCATTGATGGGTGTCAGTAAT